CTGTCTCCAGCCTTGGCCCACAGTTTCCTTAGTATATGATGGGCTGATCCAACAACCTTAGAAGCAAGAGAGGATGATCCTCCTGTACTTTCAGCAGTTCTGCAGAAGAATTTCTGGCAGGTACAAGTTACACTGTTGGTAAGGGTCCCTCTCTTTCTTTGCATTCGGCCGGCCTACCTGCAAGCCAAAAGGAGGCTCTAATGATCCTCACTGCCCAGTAGGGATGTCCCAGCTCAAACGGATAGATTGTCATCCAATAGTTGCGCAAAATGCCTGTGCAATATATCGTACGAACAGATGAGGCTGCTTTAGACTAGCCCTGTTGACATGTTAACCGTGAATGTGCATATGACCTGCAGGTATGTGCGTATATTTGTTAGCAAGGAAAGCCAACACATGTGCACATTATGAATAAAACTGGGGCTCAGTACCTGGATAACTGTGGGGGTTTAAATTATACATTCGGCTCTTCATGCAATGAATATGAGAATTACTGAACACACATATAAAGAAAAACCAAGTGAACTCTGTACATGGATTGTATGTGTGTTCGCTGTAACTTGTGGACAGGGCTATTGAGTCAAAGCATTGGTCTATCAAGGTCAGTATTGTCTGCTCGGACTGGTAGCGGCTGTCAAGGATCTCAAGCAGAGGTCTTTCATATTGCCTACATCTTGGTCATTGTAACTGGAGATGCCAGGGATTGAACCCGGGGCCTTCTGCATGCAAAGAAGATGTTCTTCCACTGAGGCCCCACTCCACGTATTTTAGGTTTTACCTTTGGTTTCTTTCCCTCGCATTAACTTAATAACGGAGGATGCGTGTATCTTCTGAGCGCTGCTGTAGATATAATGCCATAAGTTATTATTAGAAGAGAAACAGTATAATGGTACAAAGAACTGGAAATGGAGACTGGCCAAAATGTGCCCCTTCTTGAACTAGGGGCACATAAGACCAGTGTGGGCTCAAAAAGCAGCTCAGGCATGAATCTTATTGTTCCTCCTGTTATCATTGGTGGGAAAAGGGGGTACTTTAATTATTAGAATACCAGTTTAGGACAGTGGAGAGCCTATGTTCAAATCTCCTCTTAGTTCACTGGGTGACTTTGAGCCATTCACTTGGTCTTAGCTTGACCTACCTTGCAGGGTTATCATGAGGATAAAATAAAGGAGGATTGTGTAGGCTGCCCTGTGCTCCTTGGAGGAAGGGGGTGGTGGTTAAAAATGATAGAGAGATCATCACACACTTGCTGCCGTAAGCTCCTTGGCAGAAACCTGGGATACAAATCTGATTCATTGCTAACTGACCAAGTATATAAATACATGAGCTGGAGACAGATCATAATTTTTAAGAGAGCTAAATCTGCCATGACAGATGGTGTTCTATAGTGGACGAGTATCTTTTGTCCCTCCCCACCATCGCCTCCGGTTTTACAGTTTTTGACAGAGGCACTAGTGGGCTTTGTACACACTACAAACAGCAATGGCACCGTCACCCCACTAGCAATGTTGTGAAAAAGGCTATGGAAGATCTCCAAATAAAATCCAGGTGTCTGGTATTTTCAGTGCATCTGATCTTTACAATACCACATAGGTGGGCTATTGCACTCTACAACATTCCAGTAAGGGAGGGAAAAAATAACCCCAGGATTATCACTCCCACAGTGGTGAAACGCACAAAACCTTGCCACTTCAGTAAGTGACCAGTCTACTGTGCCCTACTGATGTTAATCCATCTCCTCATTTGGAACAGGAGGGACCTTTCTTTTAATCCACCTGTTCAATTATTTATCATTGCTATGTGTCCTGTTAATTGTCACTCTGTGCAAAGGCTTTATATTGTAAGAGGACACCCCCTAATATTTTTAATGACCTTAAGCAAAGTGATTGACATAAGATACCCGTGTCAGATGTTCTGGTGACGCAACATGTTCCCCCAGTAGCAGGAAAACTTCCTGCCGTGATTAAGTCCGAGCTATGAACAGTGCTAAAATGTGTGGTCAGCTTTCCTCTGATGCAAGCAATTTTATTATAGCGTCTGGTAACGCCGGAGTGTAGCAACACAAATACGGAGTCTAAACATCCCCTCCCATATGTATAGCTTGCTCTATTTAAATCGCAGCTTGTACTTTACAAGGCCAGAAACCTAACTAATCAGCGGTCGGCGCATGCATGTTTCAAGTCAGCTATGACTGGAGAAATATCCATACAGCAATGAACTTTCATTCATTTTGAATGAGACATTAATTTAGAACATTCAGGGAGTAGTAGCCCCAGTATTGAACTTACTGCAATTCCCTTGGTCCGGTGGGAGACACTGTTACGTATGCTAAAATTTAAGGTTGAAATCCTATACAACGTTTTATCTAGAAGTAAGCCCAACTGGACGTAATGAGACTTACTTCTGATTCAACATGCACAGGATCAAGCCACAAGTTTGGCAGATTTTTAAAGCATCAGTCACATATTAAAAAAAATATGACATCATAATATCCATGTCTTTAAAACAAAAGGATTTAAAGACTAATTTCACACCCATACAAATTCTTTTGCACCTCCTTTTTCTGTAATGCTGAGGCTCAAATCTAAGAATCTCCCTTTGACTTGGCTTTTCCATCAAATCTCAGTTGTGATTTGGCTGGTTGTAGTTATTACACCTCAGAGGTGAATGAAATGACATTCTGCACATGCTCCATTGTTGATTATTTGTTTGTTCCTTCTTGCATGGAACTCAATGTGGAATACACAGGATTTCCCATCAGGTCTGCAGGTCGGCACTGTAAGTACCAGGACGTGCTACTCTGACCGGGATCCAGTGAGCCCTTTTAAGAATGCACTTTCATGCATATGTGCAGACACATAGCAGGAGCTTTCAATGTCCACTCCAGATTTACGCCTCCTGAGAAAATGGGGAGGGGGGGGGAGAATGCAGGAGGACAGCAACCATTTCTAGTATGGCATGCCCAGACTGCTGTCCAGCTATGCCAGTAAAAAGCCTTCCTTATGTCGTCAAACATTCCTGAGTTTTCCCTCTGGCCAGCCTTGCTTGTCTTGATGGGCATGATTCTTGTTTGGGGTGAGAAGCCTGCATCTGGACCCAACAGGCAGATAAAGATTATGCTTGGAAAGAGGTGATTGCCTTCATTTTTAGGGTAGGAGCCCCAGCTCATGGGAGGACACATGGTTTGCACACTAAAATCCAGTCCCTGTCATTTCCAGTTAAAAGAAGTTCAGGGAGCAGAGGTGGGAAAGACTCTTGCATGAGACCTTAGAGAGTGGCTACCAGACCATGTGGGCTGTGCTGGGCTAGTTGATTTTACTCAGTCTAAATAGCTTCATACATCTGTATATAGCAGTCCCAATAGTGCACTGGCTCAATCTTGTCAGAGCCTGAAAGCTAAGTAGGGTTGGTACTTGGATGGGAGTCCACCAAGGAAGACTGGGGTTGCTGTACAGAGGAAGGGCATAAAAAACCACCTATGCTCCATCCGTTCCCTTGAAAACCCCAAGGGGTGGAACATCATGGGGTTGCCATGAATCAGTTGCAACTGGATGGCACACTTTGCCTTTTTTCATCTGTATGGATCAGGCCTCTTGGCTGGCTTTGTAAAAGCATAATTACCAATGAAATCTCCGCCATGTTTTTGCTTTCTTTCTGAATGAGGTGCTTTATTCCACAACTATAGAATAAAAATATAGAATTTAAATATAGAAAAGAAGGTTTGCTTGACCCCCCCCCCCAAGGTGCGGCCAGTCTTGTTTCAAGAGGAATCATGTTGGAAAGTGGGAGTTACAGCTCCATAAAGCATTTCAAGAAGATATAAAAGACCTCCATCCTCCTCTGGCTGGGCTGCTCTGTGTGCAGTTTCTGGCTCTAGGCAGCCAGGCGCTCTCCCATCTATAGGAGATACGCCCATGAAACTCCATGGGGATAAAGATGGAGCCTCCTGATCCGCATCCGCCTCCAGCTGCACATTCATAACAACTCGGCTCAGTTCTGCCTAGGCTGCTTTAGCTCCAGATCAGGATGTGGGGAAACATTAGATTTTAGGAAGCTCTAGCAGCACAGATTTGTTTATTATTTTAAAAGGATGTGTACATTTTTAAACTGCTTCTTTTTATTATCAAAACCATCCCAAAGTGCTAAGTCAGACTATGTTACAGTATTTAATTTACAAAAAAAATCTCTCACTTTTCAGCTATACACATACCTTGCAGTTTACTCTGTAAAATAGCAACCAGCCTAGACAATAGCCAACCTTCCCATCTCCAAAATCAGGTTTTTGTTTTAAAAAGTTGAATATTACTCTTTAAAAAGTACCACTGAAGAACATCACAGGAGCATAAGGGAGAGCTTAGCTGATAGTTGTACCAGCCACTTCTTAGATATCACTCTCCCAAGAATCTACATCAATCAAAGCCATGTACAAGCTCATTGTCTGTTCAAAAGTAATGTGACCACCCCGCTTGGTTGATAACGCATTCTCTGAAGCCAGTTTCCAGCACCTGTGGGGGTCATCTCATCCTAGATATTGACATTATATTTCAATGTTGTCCACATCTTTCTTTATACTTTGAAAGGCATACAAAGGGTTGGGGGGGGGGAGAGAAGAGAAGGTGGCCTGAGGCTCGTATAATCCCAGAGCTGCTTTTTCAGATCATGGTAAGGAGGCCATTGAGATAGTTAATACATATGTCCCCATTCATAAGCCAGTCCCCATTTTCTGTTTCCTGCCCTCAGAATATCCCTGCCATTATTTTTTGCCTTTTAGGAATACTTAGCTAACATTTTAGTGTGGATTCCTAGAGTAGTCATTCAGAATTCAGCTCTCATCCAAAGTCCCTAGCAGCTAAAATTTTAAGCAGGTGACTGGATGCATCTTACCTTTAACATCCAAGCACATTGATGCCTGTGCATGAACATCAAGCAGTGAACACCTTTCACACCCCACAGCAGTATTTAAAAAATAATACATTGCTGTGCAATTGCATTTTCCCTGTTGTCAAAACCACCATTGGTTTTTTTTTCCAGTCTCCTTCACCACTGCAGGACAGTCCACTGCAATATAAATTAGTATCAGCTGAGCATAACCAAGGATCGGTGGTGGAGGTGGTGACCAGGCAGTGCTCCTTGGTCTGAGAACTGGGACGTTATAAGGGAGTCCCGGTTTCGATCTGTGAAATTCTGGAGTGTCAACATGGCATGCAGTGTGGAAAACAGCTATTTTTATTTCAAAAGACAAGCCCTCATTAGGAACTATCGCATTTGTGCATAACAAAAAAACAACAACAAAACCCTGTCAGTCATTTTTCCTTGGGAAAAGCAGCTTCAGGAAGGGAATTTGAGAGGACTGGAAAGGGGGCTCTACACCTTTGTTTATCTGCCATTGCTCTGCTCCAAATCCCCTCCCCCAAACTGCTTATCCTTAAGAGCTACCACCATCTGGATTTTGTTGCATGCGTACACCTGTAAATAGATACATTTATAGTGGTTCAGATTACCTGCTAAAATCCCATTCCCTTGTTCCTGTAGGCTGACATACTTTTATGCATTGCCTGACACAATCCTTTATTACAGGCTGTGTCTGAATATTGGCTCTCCTACTTGGAAACTTGGCCTCTCCCAAACTGCAATGTAGCAGGCAGATTTTTTCCCTTAAGAGCATGACAACATTAACATTTGATCATCATAATTTAAGTTGGAGAGATAAACAAAGGGAACCACCTATAATGAAAACCAGTTCTCGAGTACTTTGAAATTAATTTGTGAAAAAAACAGATATTGATTCCCGACTTCTGAGAGGGTCTTTTAGCTCATATCGCTATAATTCCAACTTAGCTGCAAATAAAAACATCCTGCAACCCAACTGCAAATAAATAGGCATGTCTATTTAATAATCCATCCTCTCTTCCATCCTTTGCATTTGGAAGTTTTAATTTTTTAAGCAAACAGGCTTCTCTGATTTGCAACAAGAACGGTTTGGCTTTCTCGCCTTTTTGCCTTCTTGCTCCTCTGCCTGATTTTCCAGCACAGTGCACTCGAAGCCAACAAAAGAAGTCCAAATGACAAGACAACCAATCCAAGCACAGAGATGATGGATCCATGGGAGTTGAAGCTGTATGCCACGGTGGTGACCACCACTCCAGCAATGAGGATCACCACGCCAAAAGGGACTGTGCAACGGTAACAAGAGAGTTCGTTTCCACCTGTGGCAGCTGTGAGCTGGCATTCACTCACTAAAGGGACAGCTGTTACCCTACAGTCGTTGTTGTTGCTCTTCTCCAATGTAGCACATTGAGAACATTTGGAACCTCCCAAGATCTCCTTGATAGGCTCGTCAGTCATCTTGCAACTTTCGATCTGCTTCTGCAAGGTCAGTGCTTCGGCTAAACCAGATTTTGCTGAAAATGCCTCAACTGTGGAAAGAAAATGTATTTAACAGATGGGGATCAACAAATAATCTAAAGATTACAGGTAAAGCAGTATTATTTGAAAAGAACAAAGCTGGTACCATGGTATAACAGTGCCCTTTTTACCCCAACCCCACCCCGCAAGGCATGTCCACCAACAGAAAGGAGGTCCACCACTTGTTAACTCTACCAGCTTCTCTTGTAAACTGCAGAGCTGGTCCGTGAGAGTGCAACACACATTCAGTAAATCTCGTTGATTCAGTCTCAGTAGAGTTGGCAGGTATGAAGGATCAACAAAACACACCACTATGAGAAGATGCCTACTAAGCAAATACTTTATCTCAGACTCAAACTACATGGGAAAGATAAAAGTCTCAAAGGTCACTACCAAATTCCTTCCCAGACTCACACATCTGGGGATGTGGGGAATGGAATCAGCCCATTAGCCCTGCCTCTGACCTCAATACACTGATCAGGTCTTCTCCATATAGCCAGCATACACATGTAGCTTGTACATATGAAGGCTCTGTACAGAAGACCCAATGAATGCATAGAAGATGGTCAGTAGGGGTGTGCACTTGTGTATACCCATGCCAGAAATAAACTGGAAATTAGCTGTTTTGTGTCGTCTTGGGGATATCCGAAAGGATCCATGCTCTCAAATTCCAGGAGTAAAGAAAATATATCCCCTGGAACTTCACGAGTGTTTTGTGTTTCCAGAACCAGGAACCTAGAGGGTGATACAGGAAGCTAGTCCACCAAACAGCTGTATGGTAGCATTTCCCTACCTTTAAAATTTAAAGGGCTATCATTTCCTATGGGCAGTAGACAAAGCCTCTGTACCATCCATAGGAAATAATGAATGACTCCCATTATCTTTTTTCTTTCTTTTTTTTGTGAGGTGTGTGTCTGTGTGTGTGTGTGTGTGTACGCCTGGAAGTCATGGTTGACTTCTGACAACCCCTAGTGGGGCTTGGACGTTTCAGAGAGGTGGCTTGCTATTGCCTACCTCTGCATCCTGGCCCTGGTATTCTTTGGAGGTCACCCATCCAATTCTGTACCAAGGTTGGCCTTGCTTAGCTTCCAGAGCTGACGCGATCAAGCTTGCTTGGGCTATCCAGGTTAGGGCCTGACTCCATTGTTTTCTATGGGTAGTAAACCAGTTTTCCAGGCCACGTCTACCAGATCAGCTGTTAGCTGGTGTCTCTGGTCCCTTTAAAATTTAAAGGTACATTATTTTATATGGAGGTAGACCTGGCATCTGATTTTGGAGGCCAGGGTTTCCCAAACAATTTTTAGTTGCAACTGTTTGGTGCCACTCATGAAGGTGTTATTATTATTTTTTTAAATGGTATAAGGTTGTCAAGTCTAACAATCCACTAAACTCAAGGCCCATGCCTGCAAAGAGGTAGCAGGCCACTAGATCAGGCATCTACTTAATATACAATGGCTGGGATCCTTACCCTTCTTTCAACAAAGGTCGCCAGCTCTGGGTTGGGAAATACCTCGAGATTTGGGGGAGTGGAGCTTGAGGAGGGTGGGGTTTGGGGAGGGGAGGGACCTCCATGAGGTATAACGTAGGGTTGCCAAGTCTATTTACCTTGGCGGCGGGGGAGCCTCGCCGGCTCCGGGAGCTGTCGGTGGAAGTGACGCGCGATGTCGACACGTTCAGGGCGTGGCCCCGATCGTTGGAGGGAATCGGGGCCACGCCCCCAACGTGATCAACGTGGTTGCGTCACCTCTGGTGACGCAGCCATGCTGCGCTTCGGGGGGCAGAGTTCCCCCTGGGGCCCGATTCCGCGGCGGCGGAAATCAGGCCTCCAAAGTGGGGGTTTACCTGCCCCCTGCCCCCACTTGGCAGCCCTAGTATAATGCCACAGAGCCCACCTTCTGAAGTAGCCATTTTCTCCAGCTGAACTGATCTCTGTTGCTTGGAGATCAGTTGTAACGGCGGGAGATCTCCAGCCACAGCCTAGAGACTGGCAACCCTACTTTCAACTAAGCAGCCCCCACCCCACCCCCAGCTTAAGAGGTTCTGCCAGTGGAGGAAGAGCTACTTCAGTGGGAGGATGGCCCCTTAGGTTGGAGGGAGTCTTCAAATATTCTTCAGTGGAGTGCTAGGAGAAGGGCAGAATCCACTCCAGTATTTATACCCTATCACTCCAAGGCTTTCAACAATAAAACAGTAGAAACAGCAGTATAGCTTGTGCCTGTGTAGGGCACTACAAGAAACAAACTGGTCAGACTTGCTCCCCCCCCTTGATCACCATGGGGGGGGGAAGACACTTGGTGGCACACACAGATGCCAGGCTTTTAAAAGCACAGGACGTTTCTCTGGGATGCAGCCTAGCACACCTATTTTGAGAGCTGGGTAGGGGGAGAAGAGAGAAGTCTTTTCCATGGCACCAGAATTAAAACAGTAAAACACAACGTAATTTAACCTACATTATGACGACATCCTACCCAAAACAGGTACTAGGGATATACAGTGCCTAACATTAGACTGTCCAAGCATAACCTACGAACCTGTCAAGATACATGGGAATTATAAACTGGTTGCACCAATGGTGGAGGATTCAAATGTATTGAAATGAGGCGGCTCTTGTGTTTTATGCTGAACTCTACTACAGTCACAGTCTGCCGAATTCAGTTTTGGAGTTATTGTTTTTGAAGTTACAATACGGTAACTTTGAGACTCTGTGATCAGTGTTAAGGTACAAATGAAGTAAAAATCTTTGGGGGGGATAAAGGGAAAGAAAGGAAAGAGAATAGGGTTGCCAGGTCCCCCCTGGCCACCCGTGGAGGATGGGAGGGTAGGGTTGCCAGATATAGGTCAGGGAAGTCCTGGAGATTTGGGGGTGGAGCCTGGGGAGGACAGGGACCTCAGTGGGGTACAATGCCATGGAGTCTCCATTTTCTTCAGGGGAACTGATCTCTGTCGTCTGGAGATGAAGTATAATTCTGGGGGATCCCTAGGTCCCACCTGGAGGCTGGCATCTCTGTCACTATTGTCCACTGTTCCTACAATGTCTGAACATAGTTTTGATGCTTTAATAAGCACTTCGTATTTTGACAAGGAAATGAAAAACAGGGGAGGGGGTGGGCTTGCCGCAGCAGGTATCACCCAATGTTTGAGAAGGAAGGAAAATATAGTTTTCCAGGTGGCAGAAAGTACCTGGGAACCAATGATCCACTAAGACTGAACGGTTGCTACTTGCTACAAATGCTCCCTCTAAGCTGTGGAGTCTTGCGAGCAAAAATTCTACTTTGTGAGCTACTGGCATTACAGTTGTGAGTGAGCGATTTGGCTGCTGCATCAATTAGTTTGCTCTGGAGCCGTCCTTCCTGAGCTAAGACAAAAATGTGTGAACCGGAGTAAAAAACTGTGAGCTAGCTCACACTAACTCAGCTTAGAGGGAACCCTGCTTGCTACTATGATTAAGGTTCCAATAACACCCACAAAAGACTTGTGACACCTAGCCCTGAACTTCCCAACCAAAAGCTAACTTTCTGAAGTGCAGAGATATAATGTGAACAGGGGAAGCCACTCCTCCTCTGCATTTTTAGGGTGCCCCCACCCAATTTGCCTAGCATCAGTTACTCCAATCATGGTGGCACGATCTGTGACCAGCTTACAGCACAGCACAGCACTGGAGTCCCAGTGACATGGAAACCCTTGGCTAGTACCAGCAGTCCCTACAAGGAACAGGATAGCTTTAGGGGCAGTGGTTCAAGGATCAAGCTCAAGATTCCCAACATCGACATCAGGTCACTTGGCCACAGCAACTAAAGCTGAGGACTGGATATACTGTGCGTGCACAGACTTGTATGGAAATCCCAGTGGATTCAAAGGGACAAACAAAACGTGTTTAGGCATGAATATTTCATACCCACACAAAAATGTGGAGTGAAGCTGGGGTGACATCATTTTTTCCCTTCTGTCAAAAGTGCCCCACTGCTGGCTTATGAGAAAATATATGTAAAATCTCCCAACAATCAATCATTTAATATTCATCCTATTTCAAAATGCCATTTAGTTTTTTATTAAAATGAACAAAAAGAAAACCTGATTGCATTTACACACACAAAAAGAGTAGATATGAAATCCAGGAAGTTTTTTGCTCTACAAAGCATCTGATATGGATGCATTTTTTTTAATGAAGCCACCAGACTCCACATCCTTTCTGCACACTCACATCTCTCCTCAGCCTTTGTTCTGGCCCAGTGCATAATAAATAGCTCATCACTGTCTAAATCAACAGATGTCACCAGCCAGAAGAGAATATGTGCCAAGTAAGCAAGACCAAGTATTCATTTATGATTTGTAAATGCACAGCACCACTGTAGCCTGCAACAGCACTGGAACTGTACTGATCAAGCATTCGTCCTGAGAAATATCATGCACGATGGTTGCAAATATTCAGGCTGATTACAGGCCTTTTGAAGGTCTGTTACCAAGTGTCTGTGATGAGTGTCACAGACTGCTATTTTGTTTGCTCACTTGTGCTAAAGTTATTCACATTCCTCTAATTTGCACTGTTATGTTTAGGATCCACAACTGGATATCCCACCATGCGCTCTTAACCTTTGAAGGCAATTGGGTGATTCAAATTCCTTGAGCAGGCCTTTCTCTTAATAGATCAATTTCTCTCGTGGGCAAACACAAACACACACTCTATTACATGTGGTAAGACAATCATATCAATTATGATTTTTGACAAATCATTTCCTTTTTTAAAATGGTGACATTTCATATAGTTTGGGATGCTCTTTCCAAACTGCATTTAGTTTCAAGGTTCTCTAGAAGAATCTTACCCTCTTCAGTGCCTTTATACAAAAGCTGGATCAGAATGAATTTTCAGGTAGTATGAAACTGTATGAAACTGACCTTCTCAAAGCTAGTGCAGGGTAGTTTTGGACTGCATGTGAAGAGACTTGGATTCAAATCACCACTTAAACCATACAACTCATGGGCCGGTTAGCCTCTCACAGCACTAACTTTCCTC